TGAATACTATAAATAAGAATATAAAAGAATTAAGTTATACAAATACTTATATATTAAAATATTGTTTGCCTCACGCATTAAAATAAAAAAATGAATCATTTGCCATAAAAATAAACGTTGATCAATAGTTATTTGTTCTTACCTTTCCTATATAGAAATGTAAAAATAGTTCTTCACATAACATATTACTAAAATAGCTATTTGTTGCCTCACATATTAAAATAAAAAAAAACAAAAAAAAGCAAAAATTAAAAATATAATTTTTAATATTTAGTTTTTTATTTACCTTTTTAATCATAGATGCTTTAATAATAATTGACCCGAGTCATGCACGTAGTGCACATATCATAATTATAAGAAATCATGTGTGTACATAATTCTTTATGATGTTAGAAAGTATTTTATTTATAGGAGATTGAGTGTATAAAGATTATATTGTTTTATTAGATTTTAAATAAGGTATCTATATCTACATAACTATACAATTATATATATATATATATATATATATATTTCTTATGATATCTCTTCAAATTTGAAATCTATGTAGATAATTAACAACTAAACCTGGTGTTTATTCTGTAGCATTGTCACCTACCTTCTTTTCTCATACGCCTTATTATCTTGTGCTTTTCTTTTTAAATTTTGAAATATTTTCTTCTTTGTAGTGTTTTGTTGAGAGCGGTGTGGACTCGGCCTCGCATGTTATTCTGATCTATGAATTTGGGCTGTTTTGATAACAAAAAATTAAAATAAATAAAACAATGTACTTTAATATTTATAAAAATATTTAATTTTCTTTTGTCAATCCATATCAATTCTCATGATACCTTATCTGAGTCTTGAGCCTGATCTGTCCTGAATCATATCTTGTGGCTGCAATCCAATTTGGGGCATTTCAAAGGGGATGTGCTAAGTGGAAAGCTAAAAATAAATAAAAAGATTAATCTGGTTTCCAATGTTTGTTTTACATGATTCAACTAAAATGCTAAATAAAATACTAAAATATCATTTCTCTTATAAAAATATTATTTTTATACATCTTATATATAAAAAATATCAAATTGCCTTACAAAACACTTCAATGCAATAACGATTTTTTCACTAGTATTTTTTTCTTTGAATTTTTTATTTAAATTTATGTTGTTTCGGTTTATATTCAAGTCGAAACCAAATTACATTAAGTTATTAGAATAATTATGTATCAAGTATAAAAACTAAATGGCTTTTTACCGCTAAAATGCACATAAAAAAGTCATATTTAAACTATTCACAAAACCATACTACTAATTTTCCTCTTCTAGATAGTATATTTCGACGGAGATGCTCTCATGCACGAATACTAAAGAGGGGCAATAGGCAGTCTCAGGGAAACTCCAAATCTCCAGCAAAGAATAAAGAACAAAGTTGTTATCCCATCCGACTCGAAAAGGCAAGGATTCCAGGCATGTCTATGGAAATTGGAAACCAAATTTGCAAAATCCCAGATAATTAGGGTTTTGAACCCTAAGTCAGAAGTGGGCCAACCCTGATCTGCAACGGGACCGAGTTCTTGTTTTGCATGATAGAAACAAGCCAGCCACGTCTTGATATTGTGTATACAGATTAGAAATAAATACTCCAGCACAGTAGAGAAAAAAGAGAGAGCAAAGTTTGAGAAAGTAGAAGCACGGGCCAGCTTTATACATGGCAACCTACTTATTGCAAAAGCGCTGACACTCGCAGCTCGCAGACGCTGCAGGCTCCTGGCCTTTCCAGCCCTTTGTGTTCATTGTTTTCCCACGACAATCTTGTACAGTTCTTTTTATGGAATAAAAAGAGTTTGAAAAGCTAAATGCATATACATCGAAATTATTTTATTGCATTGGCAAGAAAATATACTTGTTGATAAACGATTTTGCCATATCTAAACCCAGTATATAATTGCACTTTAATGTCAACTACGCCCACACATTTATTAGGGTTAAGTGCAAAAAAATTTTCATTTTAAGATATTAAAATTGAATAATTTATGTAATTTTTAAAATTCAAGATTAAAGTATATCTTTCGTGAAATTTATAATACGTTGTTCATGTTTGATATTTTTTTCTTTTCTTTTTTTTTCTTTCAATCCTAATTTTTATAAGAAATTTAAATTAATTGGTTTTAAATTATAACTAAATTACTAGAAAAAAAATATTTGAGATCAAAATTAAACAAAAGAAAATACACAGTCCATCCTAAGTAATATATGAAAGGATAAATAATAAAAAAACTCAACATTTTCTAGTAATACTTAATTATTTGGTCTTGACATATATGTACAGTTTCGAATTATACTTTTTTTTTTTTTTGGGTGCGGGGCAGAAATCTTGAATCATGGCTGAATAATTGTTGAGAAAGTTCAGCATAAAGTGATTTCTTCATGATCTGTGTATGAGGTGGTGGGATAGGCCATGACACTATCAACAGCAGTTGATACTGTATTGTGTCGTCAAGCTTGTTAAATAAAAAACTCATTTTTATTAACAACTAGGGGAATATTACAATAAAAGTTAATCCAATGAGTGGATTAATTAGTATTATTGAGATTATATAGATAAACCTCTGTAAATTAATGTTATTGAGATCATTAAAATTTATTAGTTAATCAAAATATTACTCAATTATGATATTAAATAAAAATAAAAATAATATTATTTAATCAAGACTATTAATTAATTTATCAGATAATATTAGTTTGGATAACTAACACTTAAGCGTCAAGGTATTATTAACTCAACAATATATATTTATTATTTTAAAAAAAATTTTATTAACACAAAAAAACCATAAAAATACTTACAAAATTAATTTAATATTTTTTGAATTTAAATATATTTTTTTAAAACATAATTTCATAGCAAAAACAAATAACTCCGGAAAAAGACAAGGATTAGAGGTGGAATTACAGAAAACTCCCCTGCTCCCTTGATCAATAACAGTCAATCAGGCCTTTATCCTCCACGAAACCTGTCCACGCGCAATTCACGAGCGTGCAAAACAGCAAGAATAAGATGCTATATCCACGCTCCTCGGGAAAAACGAGCCAATGCCCGCTCATTTTCCTAAAATGTAATTACCTTATTTCTCCTTTTCTCATTATAATTTCCTTGAATGAAAAAAATATATCATAAATTGCCTGGAATTATTGTTTAATTTGCAATTACCATTACGGGATGACATAAATTTACAAGATTATATACGTTATATATTATTTACATGTATAATTATCTTAATATATTAACTTTTCTTAAATTATCTCAATAATATGATGAGTTTAAAAATTTAAACAAAAAAATAATAAAAAGGTATAAATAATGTATTATTTATTCAACAATGCAGCCATGTGCTCCTAGATTAATGACAGGAAGAAAGAAAGGGAGCCATCGATCCCCGTTAGTTCACGACCGTTAGCCACACCTCTCCACACTCGTCCTCAACGCGCGTGGAAAGGAAGAAAACAGTAGAAGTGCCCGTCGAAAATCGTAACGACATGGAAAACGGCAGCGATTGTACGAATGACGGCTGCTCTCTTCCACCCACTGTCAAATATCAAATCAAAACAACATTTTCGGTACTAAAAATGTAAAAAATACAATAAATAAATAATAATAACAGTTTTTCTTAAAGGGAAGCAAGGCTCGGTTTTCCATTCTACATAGAGATTAAGTACATTTTTATTTTTTATTTAAAATTATTTTTTTTTATTTTAATATATTAATATTAAGTATATTTTTTAAAAAATAAAAAAATAAAATTTTTAATTAAAAACACTTAAAAATAGAATCACTACTCTTGTCAAATAAAAAAATATGTTAGTACGAATAACTATTGCTCTCTCTTTCAGTCACTGAATTTGATTTGCAATGATTGCAGAAAAAAGAAGAAAGAATTGTAATATAGCTAAAAAATTCAAATTAAATATTTTAATATTACAGCCTTTTCTGAGATTTATCATGGATATATCTATTTTAAGATATTAAGTTTTAATTTAATTTATTTCCTCGTACAATTTCATATCACAAGTCTGATAATCATCAACATTTTTTATTGGTGATAAAAAATGATATACATGCAATTTTATATCTTATAGAAATATTTCCTTTATGCATCGGAAATCATTCATGTTTTCTATTTGTAATAAAACTGTGTACCATTTACACCAACCATACCTTATATAAAAATTGAGTTTGATAATGTTCTGTTATTATAATATTGATTATTTTTAGAGTATTGTCTATTTAAAAATATTTTTTATAAAAATATTTTTAATATTAAAATAATCTAAAAATATATTAAAATTATTTTTTTTAAATGATCCGGCCTCGTAAATAAACAAAGTTTTCTTCTCATGCAAACATATGCATGGATTTCGTTTAGAGTTTGTTTATAAGTGTGATTATAGTTGTTTTTAAATTATTTTTGTACTGAAATACACTAAAATGATATTTTTTTATTTTTTAAAAATTATAACACCAAAACGATCCAAAACATATAAAAAAATTAATTTTTAACAATAAAAAATAAATTTTTTAAAGACATGATTTGCACTATATTTCTAAATATTACCTTAAAAGACAATAATATAACTTGAACCTAATAATTAAAATGAATTTTTTTTCTCAACACCACCCACTAATTCCTGTGGATAAAAATTACCATTTAAATCAAATAATCAAAATCTTAGCAAATAAGTCTAATGAAAATCAAATAATCTTATCTTAATAAATTTTCTATTTTAGCAAAGAGAATTTGAATTACAATACCTCTAATTTATCTAATTATATTACAACGATGGATGATATTTATAAAATACAGGAGGGAAATGACAAAACTGATTTAAAATAAAATCCAACCCGAGAATTTAGTAACTATGCTAATATCCAAAATTGGCTTCCTACAAAACTCAAAATACTGTACAAATTTTATTTGAATAAATTATATAACTATTTGACTGCTTTAACTATCAACCAAAGCAAGTCAGCCACAAACGTCTCTTCACCGCCGTTTATTACATTGCTCCTCTCCTTCTCTCTCCACTGCTCTATGTTTCTGTCCTTTCATTCTCTCTCTCACCTCATAAATAAATTCTGTGCCATGTTATAACTCTCTACCTTACAGTTCACGCCAAACGAATGCTCATCGTTCTCTCTCTACGAATGACAGCAGATAACCTCAAGACCCCATTAGTTTCCGTTTCTTCTTCCTGTTCTTCGTCTTAGACTTGCACTCGTGTCTTGTTTTCCTGTTCGTGTATGAAAAAAAATGAAGCTACTAGTGGTTTTCAAGCACTGTTTAGCAATGGCGGTGCTGCTTCTGCTTCTCATGTCTCCTCTTGTTTTCCCACTCAACGACGAGGGTACTGCTCTCTCCATGTGTACCTTTTCTTGTTTGTTAGCTTCATGAGGTTTTTCCTTTTGTTTGCTATCCGTTTTTGAAATTTTGCAGCATCTTTATTTCCCTTTTCTTTACGCGGGCTCCTTAAAGATGGTGATTTTAGCTGTAAAATGGATCAAGGATTTTATTTCCTTTTGTGCTTGTGACTGTAAGAGAGGAGGAATTTAGTGAGAGAACTCCCAAGAGTGGTGGGGTTATAAAGATTTGTTTTGTTAGACTTTTGTGTAATAAATCAAACCGCTTGATAGAAGAGCTTGGAAAGTCAAAGTTTTTTATGTATAGCCTTTTGGATTCTTGTATTTTTAAATAAGATATTGTCTTGATGCAGGGAAGGCATTGATGTCTATTAAGGAATCATTTAGCAATGTGGCGAATGTGCTTCTTGACTGGGATGATGTGCACAATGAAGATTTTTGTTCTTGGCGTGGTGTGTTTTGTGACAATGTCAGTTTCTCCGTTGTTTCTCTGTAAGCCCTAGAAAGATGATCACTTTCTTTCACTCCCTTTATTTTGTCTCGGCCTTTCGTATTGTTTTGCAAATTTGGATTTTAAAATCTTGCCGTTGTGTGTTTTGTGTAGTAACCTGTCCAATTTGAACCTTGGTGGTGAAATTTCTCCTGCCATTGGAGATTTGAGAAACTTGCAATCCATGTGAGCTGCGTCTCTTTTCATCAAGCATATTAGTTTTTGTTTGCAATCTGTCCTTTTTTCTACCTGTTTGGTCTTCTTGATAGTACTTTTTTCTGATTTTTGTAAATGGCAGAGACTTTCAAGGGAATAAGTTGACTGGTCAAATCCCAGAAGAGATCGGCAATTGTGCTTCATTATTCAATCTGTAATATTCTGCTGTCTGTGTGATCAAAATTTGATTTTCTGCTGGTTTTTTTGATTGCTGGTTAACTCGTGGTTTGCATTGTGGAATCTAGGGATCTTTCTGATAACTTGCTTTATGGTGACATTCCCTTTTCTATTTCCAAGTTGAAGCAACTTGATACCCTGTAAGAATCCTTTTTTTGAGTTTCTTACAGTCTATGTTTCAGCTTGGGTTTTCTAGTTTCATTGAGTAATTTGTCCTCCAATGTAGAAATTTGAAGAACAACCAGCTTACTGGTCCTATTCCTTCAACTTTAACCCAAATTCCAAATCTGAAGACACTGTGAGTCCTAGTGATTAAAGTTTTGATATGGTGTTTATGAATCACCAGATTCTTCCAATTGGTACTGATATTATTGAAATGTTGCTCGTGATCCTTTTTAGTGACCTTGCTAAAAACCAGCTGACCGGTGAAATACCAAGACTGATCTACTGGAATGAAATCTTACAGTACCTGTGAGTATTTTAGTTTTTGGCATGGTTAAGCACTTGTAAGACTATTTATTCTTTTGACCTGTTGATTGAACCTTTATAGGATTTTCTGGATTCGGTGTTGTAAGCCAAAGCATTTTTTAACTTGGAGTCTGATTATTTTCGTTAACGTGTTTCGTTTGTGCCCCAGTGGATTACGTGGCAATTTGTTGACTGGAACACTGTCAGAAGATATGTGTCAGTTGACTGGCTTGTGGTATTTGTAAGTAGTCAACCTGCCTGCTTATGTATTCCTGTTGAGTTGTTTTCGCTTTTAATTTTTATTTTTTCTGGACATAAAACTTTTTTTTGTTTTTTTGCCAGTGATGTGAGAGGAAATAACCTATCTGGCACAATTCCTAGTAGTATCGGCAACTGTACCAGCTTTGAGATACTGTATGTTTTCTGCTACAGACTGATTTTGAGTTGTTTGTGAGATTTCTTGATGTGTTTACTTTTTAGTTTGATAATTACAGGGATATATCATACAATCAGATTAGTGGGGAGATACCATACAACATTGGCTTCTTGCAAGTTGCTACTCTGTACGTCTTCTATTTTGTACATTATTCTTACCCATATTGAGCATGCCATTTTAAGTTGTCATAAAGCAAAAAGATAGTGTCCTACCATGTATATGACAGACCACAAGAAATTGCTGTTCCTCTACTTTAGGTCCCTTCAAGGTAATAGTCTCACCGGGAGGATTCCAGAAGTGATTGGTTTAATGCAGGCCTTGGCTGTTCTGTAAGTAGGATTTAAAATCATCAATGTTTTTATTAACGGCATGGTGATCTGTAGCGTGTACTTATTTCTTTTCTTTTTAAAGGGATTTGAGTGACAATGAGCTAGTTGGACCAATTCCCCCTATACTTGGCAATTTGTCGTACACTGGGAAACTGTGAGTTCATTTAGTTACAATTACTGTTTTTAACGATGGAAACTGTAAGTTCTAGTTGGTGACGTATAAAATTGCCACTTGCTCTTCTAATGGTTATGTGAATTTTTTTTTCTTTAATGCACACCAGGTATCTTCATGGAAACAAGCTTACAGGACCAATTCCACCCGAGCTTGGAAACATGTCAAAGCTAAGCTACTTGTAAGATTCCTCTCCTGATTTGTAGGTTTCCAGATGCATTGATGTATATCAACGCATACTTTATTTTATTTAGTGACTCAACAGAATTATTTTAGGCAATTGAATGACAACCAGCTGGTTGGAAGAATTCCTCCTGAACTTGGGATGCTCGAACAGTTGTTTGAATTGTGAGTCTTCTGTGATTAAAAGCTTTCTGCTTTCTCTTCTATCCTTCACTTATTTTTCTTTTTTGTGGAACAGGAATCTTGCTAACAACCATCTTGAAGGCCCCATTCCGAACAATATCAGTTCTTGCAGGGCTTTGAACCAATTGTAGGAAATTTTATATCCTAGCTGTTTGCAACTATTTGTAGTGTCTTGTGTTTCTGATGAGAGCTTGACAGCAACTAATTGGTATGACTTCCATATGTAGAAATGTATATGGTAATCACTTGAGTGGAATCATAGCTTCAGGTTTCAAGGGTCTTGAAAGTCTGACTTACCTGTGAGTTGTCGAAGTCATATTTGGAAATTTTATCACATTTGTAGTTACTCTTTGCACTATTTCCTATCAATTAACTGGTTTGTCTTGAATTTTCAGAAATCTTTCTTCAAACGATTTCAAAGGCAGTATTCCTATCGAGCTGGGACACATTATCAATTTGGATACATTGTAAGTTCCCTAATACTGCAAACTTTTGTGATTAATGGTTAACACTTGGTTTTGGAGCTCATTCAAACTGCAATTCGCTAGTCTCATGAATCAATTTTTTCAGGGATCTCTCCAGCAATAACTTTTCGGGGCCCATTCCAGCTTCTATTGGTGATCTGGAGCACCTTCTCATGTTGTATGTCTTCTCTGGAGTGCAATGTTTGTCTGAATTTTAGTTCTTTGTTGGAACTTGCTGATCTAATTTCTAATGTTTACTTCTCCAGGAATTTGAGCAGGAATCATCTTCATGGAAGGTTGCCAGCTGAATTTGGGAATCTAAGAAGCATACAAGCTATGTAAGATTCTTACAAACTCTACTATTAATTCTTGGATGAGCTTTATTAGGGTATGCAATTTCCCCTTTTCCAAGTGTAATACAAATTGTGGTTCTTTTACCCCAGAGACCTGTCTTTCAACAATGTGACTGGTAGCATTCCAGTGGAATTGGGGCAGTTGCAAAACATTGTTACTCTGTAAGTTCAAGGCTCAGATGAGATCACTACTGTAAGTTCTTTTTTAATTGTGATGCATTTCTACAATGTAGTTCTAATTTGCTGATGGATGGCAGGATCCTGAACAACAATGACTTGCAAGGAGAAATCCCTGATCAGCTTACCAATTGTTTCAGCCTTGCCAATTTGTAAACTAATTTACTTGTTTCTCTTTGAAGTTCATTTTTAATGCTGTGTGCTGAAAATGACTTTTTGTGTTAGGAATTTCTCATACAACAATTTGTCAGGAATTGTGCCACCTATTAGAAACCTGACAAGGTTTCCACCAGACAGGTATGGAGTGGTTTGCACTTGCCCTAAAAATGAAAATTGCAGAATTAGTTTCATTAGAAATTCCCATGCATTGATTATTTGTACTCCCTCACCAGTTTTATTGGAAATCCTTTGTTGTGTGGCAACTGGTTGGGATCAGTATGTGGCCCTTATGTTCTGAAGTCTAAAGGTAACACCTTGTCCGATGCGTTCTTTTTGAATGCGTGATTTTGTTTTTGGCATAGGCCACTCTAATTGAAAAGGGCTTTGGAGATTTATCGGGAACTTATCAATCTATTTTCTGGTGTTCAGTGATCTTCTCTAGAGCTGCAGTTGTCTGTATCACGTTGGGATTCGTAACATTAGTGTCCATGATTGTTGTTGTGATTTACAAATCCAATCAACGGAAACAATTGACAATGGGATCTGACAAAACCCTACAAGGCATGTGTTTTTCTTGTTATTTGTTTGTTCTTGTTATGTTTATGGTTTTGCTTCACTTACCCAAATCCTCATGGTTGGTTAATATCTTGCCAGGTCCTCCCAAGCTTGTAGTCCTTCACATGGGCATGGCTATTCACACCTTCGATGACATAATGAGGAACACTGAGAATTTAAGTGAGAAGTATATTATAGGTTATGGTGCTTCTAGCACAGTATACAAGTGTGTGTTGAAAAATTCCCGACCACTTGCAATTAAGCGACTGTACAATCAGTACCCATACAACTTGCATGAGTTTGAAACTGAACTTGAGACCATTGGAAGCATCAGACACCGGAATATAGTCAGCTTACATGGTTATGCACTATCTCCTCGTGGGAACCTTCTCTTCTATGACTATATGAAGAATGGTTCTCTGTGGGATCTTCTTCATGGTCAGTGAACTAAACTTACCCTTCTGTTACTGTTAGTCTTCCCTCTGGTTCACTTGTTCAATGTAGTTTCCTATATATTATTATTTCTCCCTTTGTCAAAACTGGTAGTTGTATGTTATATTATTTTACTAATGCTTCTCTGTTGCTATCAATGGAAGGATCATCCAAAAAGGTTAAGCTTGACTGGGAAACACGATTGAAAGTAGCAGTTGGTGCTGCTCAAGGACTTGCTTATCTTCACCATGATTGCAACCCTCGGATTATCCACAGGGATGTGAAGTCCTCAAATATATTGCTGGATGAGGATTTTGAAGCTCACTTGTCTGATTTTGGAATAGCTAAATGTATCCCAACTACGAAAACTCATGCCTCAACTTTTGTCCTGGGGACCATTGGCTACATTGATCCAGAGTATGCCCGGACATCACGGCTAACTGAAAAATCAGATGTTTATAGTTTTGGCATTGTTCTCTTGGAGCTTCTAACTGGGAAAAAGGCTGTGGATAATGAGTCTAATTTGCAGCAACTGGTATGTATCTCAATAAATGTGCTCATTAACATTTGATTGCTTATGGTGGTTCACAACATGGATAGGTGGCTACATATTGTCCAATTTAGTTTTAAACGTTTTGACTTGTTATTTTTGCTGACGGGCAACTCTATTCTTTGCCCATTGTTTCTATCAGATTTTATCCAGGGCTGATGACAACACTGTAATGGAGGCTGTTGACCCAGAGGTTTCCGTTACATGCATGGATTTGACTCATGTAAAGAAGAGTTTCCAACTTGCATTACTGTGCACCAAGCGCCATCCTTCAGAGAGACCAACCATGCAGGATGTGTCCAGGGTCTTGGTTTCATTTCTTCCAGCTCTTCCTACAAAAGCTTCTCTTCTTCCAAAGCCTATTGACTATGCTAAATTTGTCATCGACAAAGGACAGCAGCAGCAGCAGCCATCAATAGTTAACCAGCAGCAGCCTTCGCAGGAAAACAACTCTTCTGATGCACAGTGGTTCGTGAGGTTCAAAGAAGTAGTATCAAAGAACACTCTTTAATTTTGCCTTGCACCCCAGAAAAATTCAGTGATAGAAAATCCCAAATTTTTGCTCCAAATGGGTTGTTTGAAGCACATCTGGTAATATGTTTCATCATGTATTTGCACATATTAAGCTCAACTGCTTTTACAGAACACGGGGGTTAAATCCCTCTCGGATAGTTGCTTTTGTCAAACTTAATCCCTTTCGGATAGCTGCTTTTGTCAATCTTCTTATACAAGTATTTCTACGAACGCGTAATTTATTTTGGTATATCATTCAAGACCGTTCGATGTAAGAATTGGGTTTTTAGCAACTCTAATGCCTTTCATGAATGGAAAATGCGGTCTTCGAATGCATCTAGTGTCTCTTGCTGCTTTGCTTGATAAGAGATAGCTCAAAAACAAAGGGAAAAAAGGAAAAGCTAGAAACTACACGACTTGGAAACTGCATTTGTAATCTCAAAACTTTGCTTGGTAAGCAATCTTCTCATAAATCGAACGTATTATCCCTTTGGAAGCCCCCGGTGACAGACATTCCCATTTCCCTACATA